AAACTTTTTCATTTGTACCCATTTCTTAAAATAATGACCAGCGTTCATATTTATAATTTTATTGCAATATTTTGTTAAAGTGGTTAAGGTCATATATTTTAATGATGTGATGGAGGAATTTCTACGGATATTTTATTATTGTCATAGAACTCACCATACACTTATTATTAAGTCATTAACTGAAGAATTAAAATTAATCAGAAAATTACTTAAGTTTTCTATGGGAATCCAATGTATATTTGAATAGTTTTAGATTTTCATTCAGCACCTCCTCCATTAAAATCCTCTGCAATATCAGTTATTTGGAATGAGATAGCATTGGAGAACTCTCTCTCACTATCTCTCTTATTTTACTCAGATGAAGTTATTTAATTCTATTCATGTCTCTCTCTCTCTCTCTCGATCTTCATGTCTCTCTCTCTCTCTCTTCATGTCTCTCTCTCTCGCTCTTCATGTCTCTCTCTCTTCATGTCTGTCTCTCTCTCTCTCGGTCTATTCATGTCTCTCTCTCTCTCTCGGTCTATTCATGTCTGTCTCTCTCTCTCTCTCTCGGTCTATTCATGTCTGTCATGTCTCTCTCTCTCTCTATCTCCTCTATTCATGTCTGTCTCTCTCTCTCTCTCTTTGGTCTATTCCTTGTCTGTCATCTCTCTCTCTCTCGGTCTATTCATGTCTGTCTCTCTCTCTCTCTCTCTCGGTTGATATTCATGTCTGTCTGTCTCTCTCTCTCTCTCTATGTCCTCTTCATTTCTGTCTCTCTCTCTCTCTCTCCTCGGTTATTCATAACTCTCTCTCTCTTTTCTCTCTCTCTTGGTCTGCTGCCCTTTACTCTCTCTCTCTCTCTCTCTCTCGGTCTATTCATGTCTCTCTCTCTCTCTCTCTCTAGGGTCTATTCATGTCTCTCTCTCTCTCTTCAGTGTCTCTCTCTCTCTCGGTCTATTCATGATCTCTCTCTCTCTCTCGGTCTATTCCTCTCTCTCTCTCTCTCTCGTCCATTCATGTCTATTCATGTCTCTCTCTCTCTCTCTCTCGGTCTATTCCAGTCTCTCTCTCTCTCTAAACTTCCTGTGTCTCTCTCTCTCTTCTGGGTCTATTCATGTCCTCTCTCTCTCTATCTATTCCTTGTATCCCTCTCTCTCTCTCTCTATAGGTCTATTCATGTCTCTCTCTCTCTCTCTCTCTCTCTCTCTGTCTATTCATGTCTCTCCTCTCTCTCTTTCTCTCTTGGTCTATTCATGTCTCTCTCTCTTTCTCTCTTGGTCCTTCATGTCTCTCTCTCTCTTTCTCTCTTGGTCTATTCATGTCTCTCTCTCTCTCTCTCTCTCTCTCTCTCTCATTCATTCATGTCTCTCTCTCTCTCTCTCTCTCTTCCTCCATCTCCTCTCTCTCAGTCCTATTCGCTTGTCTCTCTCTCTCTCCGGTCTATTCATGTCTCTCTCTCTCTCTCTCTCTCGGTCTATTCATGTCTCTCTCTCTCTCTCCTCTCGGTCCTATTCCTTGTCTCTCTCTCTCTCTCTCTCTCTCTCGGTCTATTCATGTCTCTCTCTCTCTCTCTCTCTCTCTCGGTCTATTCATGTCTCTCTCTCTCTCTCTCTCTCGGTCTATTCATGTCTCTCTCTCTCTCTCTCTCTCTCTGGTCTATTCATGTCTCTCTCTCTCTCTCTCTCGGTCTATTCATGTCTCTCTCTCTCTCTCTCGGTCTATTCATGTCTCTCTCTCTCTCGGTCTATTCATGTCTCTCTCTCTCTCTCTCTATTCATCTCTCTCTCTCTCTCTCTCTATTCATCTCTCTCTCTCTCTCGGTCTATTCATGTCTCTCTCTCTCTCTCTCTCTCTCTCTCTCTCTCTCGGTCTATTCATGTCTATCTGGGTCGCATTATACACATGCTATATAAAAAAGTGTTTTTTCACAAAAAAAATCGGGTTGCACTATAAATGAATTAGATTTATACACAAGTGTATACAGTAAATATTTGTAAAATAAATGCTTTTTTTTTCCTCTTGAAGTCTGTGGAATTATGTGCCTCGGTTGATTTCAGACAAAACGTTTCTCTCTATCTAAAGATTCTTTTGGGAACCAAATGTATATTTGGAGAGTTTTAGATTTTTGTTCAGTACTTCCGTGTCTTGTTGCAAAAGTGTTTAACATTCAGGTATTTCTAAGAGCAGCTGTTTGGAAAGAAAATAGCTATATGACATTGGAGAACTCTTTCTCACTCTTAGTATTTTTTCTTTCTCTCTCTCCCTATCTTTCATTATCTCCCAACCTCCCTCCCTTTATCTATCACTATCTGACTCCCACTCTCTCAAAGTGTCTATCACTGATTCCCATTCCCTCTCTCTCGGCGTCTCTCCCTCTCTCCCTCTCTCTCTGCGTCTCTCCCTCTCTCTCGGCGTCTCTCCCTCTCTCTCGGCGTCTCTCCCTCCCTCTTGGCGTCTATCTCTGTTCCCCCTCCACACGCTCCCATCTCGGCGTCTATCTCATTTTACTCGGATATAGTTATTTAATTCATGGATTTTCTGTAACTGGTTACATTATACACAGGTAAAAGTTTTCAGTGTTTAAATCTTTGTATCAGACATTTTTACAGTAATTGGTTTTTCTCTCCATTTTTGGTGCAGCTTTGTACAAAAAAGAATTAAGTCCATTTATTTGCTATAAAATATGTCCAGAATGGTGTCCCATACAGCAATATTTGACTTATGGTAGGCCTAGTCGTCTCACTCAGAAGCTGGGGTTGCATTATACATGAGCTATATGAAAAAAACAATCAGGTTTTTCACAAAAAAAATTCAGGGGTCACACTATCCATAAAGTAGACTTATACACAAATATATACAGTAGAAGTAAGTTTTGCAGCTGACATTGAAAAAATAAGTTCTTTATTTGATAAAATTCATTTGCAGTAAATATGTAAATTATCAGAGTATTTTTTTTTTTTTTTTTTTTACTAATCTTCACCCAATACAAGGCCCAAGAGCCATTCAAAGTAGAGCGTTATTGTGTGGAGTTGTATCATCTTAAGTAAGGACAAGTGTATAGAGTTGAAACAGACTTTAGAAGGAACCGGAAACCAAATCCTAAACAGGAAACAAGGGATAAACCTCTGCTCTTGTTCAAAGCACTGGGAAGGAGTGTGAACCTCATTCAACAGAGCTAAATCGAGGTTAATAAATTAAACAGAATTATCACTAAAAAAGATGGACAATATGTATTAAAAAAAATATTGCTTAGATAGAAATTACTTGGAGGCTCAGTATGACATAGAGAGGACTTCAACGATAAAATATAAATGGCCTCCAACACTTTCAAGTGGTAATTCGAGTGGAACTTGCTAAGAATGGTAAATGAGTCCACACTGAAATTAGTAGCACAATTATGACTATTTATTAGGTGCTCTGCAACGGAAGACCCATACATATTGGTCAGAATGTCTGAAGGAGAGTACTTAAGATTGCGGATTTTCATTGGAACGTATTGCTTTATTCTGACATCCAGCCTTTGAGTCTTTCTCCCTATGTAGTGTGAGCCACAATTAAATTTAAAGGAATAAATTAAGGAACTATTATGTTGTGGAGGGAGAACATCCTTACACATGGACAAGCTTGGCAGAGAAAATTTCTATCTATCCATTAATTAATGACTGCCACCCCCTAAAATGAGATGATGGGCATTGGTGGGTCAAAACAATTGTATAGTGAAATATTATTCATTTTAGATATTTACTAGCAGCCATACCCAGCTAGTCAATCAAAAAAAGCATTCAATTAGAATGGAGCAAAAACATCATCTATCAGATTCTCTCTTCTTCAATTACTTTAAAGTACTTTCATTAAAAAACATTTTGAATTAATGCAGTTAGTGATATAACAGAAGTAGTCTGTATTTATTCAAAGTTAGCCGAGAACATGAAGGGGTAAAACAGGCAACATGAAGACCCACTTCAGACCACAATTATTTTGGAGTTTTTGAAATTCAATTTGGTAGGGATCTAAAAGAGGATAGATTTATAAAGCAATTTTTAAGTTTGATGAAAATTGGTTGAAAGATCAATGAAAAATAAGAAAGAAACCAGTAAAAATTGCCATTTTTTTGCTATTTACACAGGTTTTCACTATATGGGTGGACTCAATTATGAAGTTAAATGACAAGTGAAACAATCAAATAATTGTTGACTACAATTGAGTAAAGTTTGTATTAGATTGCTTGAAAATTGCTGGAGTTTTTAGTTTAAAATTTGTGTTGAAATTGATTTTTTTTTTTTTTTCATGGTTTTTTGCTAACCGCAGTGGCGTAGAAATAAAAATGAGGTATCGTTGAGCTCGTCATGATATAAGTAACTTACATACTGAGTTTGAACGAAATTGGAGGAAAAAAGTTGAATTGATCAATTTTTGGTCAGCATTATTGATTATCTAAAAATTATCGGGGTTTTGTTTTTTGTTTTTTTTATACACCAAGAACCTATCGCTTACATTGTACAATGTATGTGCCAAGTTTGTTCAAAATCGGTTGGCTGAATCTCGAGTGATAAGGTATTACACAGACAGACACACAAACATCTGTTTTATATATATATGAAGCTAGGTACTCCTGCTAGTATTACACAATCCATTGTTCTATAAATGTTTCTTTTGATAACTGATGACATGTCTAATAAACTACTTCATACTCAACAAGCGGGACAATGATCAGGCATTTTGTTGTGACAGGTTCCTGTTCCTCTTATGAAATTTTGTCCCCCCCCCCAAAAAAAAAAACTGAAATTATGTCTATTTAGGTTATCTCTACTTGTATGAGGATTGAATGTAAAGAGGAAATTGTCTTTATTTCAAGTGCTTGTTGGCCCTGCTGATCTTCTGCGCCACCTCCCCACACTCCACCCACCAAAATACTTGTCTTTATTGTGAAGTCACCCTCAGCCAAGTATTTCCTGTCCACATCATAAATTTGTCTGTCAGTCTTTTTCTCTTCTCTTGCCAGTGTCAAATTTAGCAGATCGTTAACCTGAAATGAAAACAAAATTGGCTTTTCTTGTTATAAACATTGTTGTCTTTGATGTGGTAAGCGTTATTCGGTACGTCTGTAGGCACAAAACTAGTTGTGTACAAAATGATTGCACTATGGCAGAAATCTAGTATCTGGGGAGGAAAGGTAATCGGTGTCTACAGCTTTTTTTTTTTTTTTTCTTTCTTTAGTGATCTTACTTATTATAAAACCCAGGTTGTGTGTGTGTGTGTGTGTGTGTGTGTCTGTACGTTTATATATTGGATTGTATTTCCTACAATTTTTCAACCGCTTTCAACAAAACTTCACAGGACTACGTAAAATTACCTTGCGGTGGTTCTGACAGCACCAAAAATTGGAAAAGCACAATTATTTTTGCATGAAATCAATTTGAAAACACGAATAAGAGACAGGGGAACAACTCATATTGAATTATAGTTATAAAACCCAGTTTGTTTCCTATATTTTTCAACCGATTTCAACAAAACTTCACTTTTTTTTTGGCAGGTAGTGTTTCTTATTGTCTTTTACTTTTTTTTTTTTATTTTTACATTCAGAATGCTTTAAAAATTCCATTTACAAGACAATTGTTTATAATAAAATTCTATTCAATCGATAAACTCATAACGATTGAAAACAATGTTTTTGTTTGGGTTTAACCAATTCGTAAAAAAAAAAAAAAAAATCAAAACAAAAAAATAAAACTAATTAAGATATGTGTGTCCGTCAACCTTAAACAATAATCTTTGTCAGTTTTATTTTTCAGTCTTTATGATGGTCGATACTTGATCTATCTCTTACTGCTACATCCCTGGGCAACGCCGGGCTCTACTGCTAGTAATTATTAAATATAGGTTAAAGATCCAGGTAATTTCAGACTAAACCCTTTATTTAATCTGGGCAGCAGAATGTTCTTGTTCAGGGAATTTCAAACTGAACCCTTTATTTAATCTGTGGAGCAGATGGTTCTTCTAATCCCTATTGCAGACGCCTGCTCAGGCACCTTTGTGTTTCCTCGATAATCCTGGTTATGCTGTGGTTTCTGCTCTAGCTATACTGAGCTGAGCAGCCTTTAGTTACAGTTTCTGGGAAAGAGTACATAATCTGGTAAGATTAGTAGTCAAACAAGGCCAGTACACTTGTAACCTCAGTCATGATGACTTGTGATTTTGTGCTAACCCAACCATTGATGACCTCTGAACAGTTTTATCTATGACTTTCATTCTCAAGGCTTGGAGAATTACAACCATATCACTATTAGTACTGTTTATAAGCCAGCCACAAGAATCTCACTAACAGTCATTTTGTGATGAGCTCAAATTTCATTTTGCATTGTTATTTCATGATTAAAATGATCAAAGTATATTACAGAATAAAGCTTTCATTCAAATATTTTATATTTCTGCCTTTCAGTTGTCTATTATATGTTTTGAAACTCTCTCTCTATATATATATATATATATATATATATATATATATATATATATAATATTTAACTGTCTTCTTGTTTTTTTAATTTTTTCTCTTTCATGGACGCCATGGTCTTTGAAGGCTTGTTTAGAGACCAAGTTAATGGCCTTTTAAGCTTCATTCACGTAAATTGCAGTAAAATTTTGATTATGTAAGAATTAAATATTACTGGGGGGGGGCAGAATTTTAGAAATACCAAAGTGGGGCATGGTTCAAAATTGGTTGGGAACCACTGCTGTACATCAAGTATTAATGTTAACATTAGTGTGGCCATTGATATACTAACACTGCACATGAGTATGGAAAGATGAAGTAGATGCCCATAATAAACAAAACATTTAATAAGTCAAATATAACATAAATACATATGTTAAGATGATTTCCACATGTCCCAGAACAAATGATTGTTGACACAATTAAAATGACGAGAATATTTGACAGAAAAATGAACAAAAAATAAACATACCAGCTTCATGACCTTTGACCGTCCCTAGCAAGGGGAATCAAAAAGACCTTTCACTCTACGTTAGGCTGTGAACATGTTGTCCATTTTCCACATGTGTAGATGCCTGGGTGGTTTAAGAAGATATTAACTGTTCCACAAATGGGAACAAAAAAAGGAGGGGGGAAACGAGTTCTCCTCTCTAAAGGGGCTGAACTCCCATGCAATCAACCCAAGGGAAAACACTGCTACTTGTATGATCACTGGAGTTAAGCAACATTGACCCTGGTCAGCATCTAGACGAGTGACCACTTGGGAATACAAAGTGCTAGAAGATTTGTTTGGTTCATTTTGTTTAACGGCATATCAACCTCAATGGGTTATTTAATGCTGACAATATTTTTAGGATAGATTCGTATGAATAGAATATGTATTTTTTGGTTTAGATTGGTTTGGTTTGGTTTATTTTGTTTTACGGCATATCAACCTCAATGGGTTATTTAATGCCGACAACATTTGGTAATGGTATTCCTCCATCTCTTCTCCCCCTAGGTATGGGTTAATTAGTAGGATTTGTGTC